TTGTGTCTTGATTCTCCAAAAGATTATGAAGTGCCTTGAAAAAAAGGTGATGGAACAGAGTGGTAAATATTCTCCTGTCCCAGCTTTTCTGGAATGTGTTGCAGGTCCCAAATTTGGAATGAAAGTATGTTTACATACAACAATGAGGTTCATAAAACAAAACAATTTTACTTTAAGTATACTTACTATTTTGCTATTCACTGCTTTCTTTTTTTAACAGCATTTCACATGTAGTGAGGTTTGTATATTAAGTCTCTTGTCAAACGTGTGCAGTCATTTCCCGCTTACACCAGTCTATTGTTTCTTTTCTGGTTAAAAAAAAGTTGGAGCTTCCTGAGTTCCAGTAGGTCTTAACAATGATGAGTAGGTCACACTGGCATAATGCGGTGTGAAGTTTCTAAAAAAACTAAACCAGGATCAAAAAGCATTTACAGTGGCAGTTTTTAAAACAAAGATCAGGGTTTCTCAACTACTGGGCCGCCGACCACAAATGGGCCTAAAGCACCCTCTAGTCGTCCTCAGGCCTATACTAAGGAGGAGCAAGTGGTTCTTAGGCCCAAACCCATTCCACCCTTCCCCCCTACCACTTAGCCCTCAGCCCTCTGTTTTGCATGCTCACTTTGTCCCAATTTTTGTTGAGATAGTGCCGTAGGGCAAAGTGTTAGGGCTATATGGCCCTGCAAACTGAGGTTTTTCAGAGGCACACTCCAAACAGAGTGTTGTGAGAAAAAAAAAGAAAAACTGGCAAGATGGCTGTGCAGATGACCAAAGAAAACCACAAATGTGAGTATTTTATCCATTAAAAATTATGATAACCACTGTATTATCTTAGTTTAATGTCGTTTCAATACATTATGGTCCTTTTCTTCATAACAAGCATAAAAATCACTAATAGTTTGTTGATGTCTCAATAGTTTGTAACAATCCCTTTGTCAATCTCAACCAAGAAAATAGTTACTAAAGTTGTTTGAGGAAAATACACTTCAAGTATAAGAGTTGAAGAGTTTGCAATAAAGTCCAAACAGGAGAGAGACAAAAACAATCCTTTTGAGATTATATTTAATCAAAATATTAGAGATTTATAATACTGGGACAAACACATGCACACATACACAATATATAACTAGTGTCCATCAAAGTCTCAAAGTCCACAAAGTCCAAACCCAAAACCCTAGAAAATCCCAAATCCCACAAGTCCTTAGCAATGCATTGCAGCAAACAAAAAAGAAAAATCCAGGACAGATCTCACCCGTGGTGCAGGCCTAATTTCAAATTACTCCCAAAACAATCAGAGGAAATCCACCTTCTAGTTCCTCCATGCCTTCTTTAAAGCCACCTTTCCTGTTCCACCTTAAATGGTGAAGCAGTTACATTCTGGCGCCGCAGGCATCGGAACTGCTGCATTATTTAAGGTGGAACGGAAAAATTTAAACTGACTTCAGCTTCATATCACCGAAGAATTAGGGGTGAGTGATAATAAATAGCTGTCGCATCCCCCCTCTTTGAAGGCATATGATGCCCTAAATGTAACTAAAGCCCAGCAGTGAGGTTGCTGAACTTTACCCTCTTTCGCTATCATTGCAAACTGGCAGGGTCGCCTACAGAGCAGCGCTAGTAGCCTGTTAATGAAGTAATGCTCTTCTTTATTTGAGGGTCCCATTTCATAGGGGACGATTTCAACTACTACCCCCTGTAACTCAGTTCCAAAGGGGCAAAGTGAATCCTCATTCAGTATCAAATTAATAAACAGTGTTTTTTAAAGCCTGATTTTAAGATCAGAGAAATTAGACAGAGACAGAGAAATATCTTTACTTCACTTTTATTTGCTTCCAAAAATGAAGTTGAATTAATTGAGTTGATTTAAGATGGTGTGCTAGGTCAATACTATTTTTGTTATTACTAATGATTAATTTTAGTTGTTAATTTTTTACATTATTTTTATCATTATTGTTATTATAATGTCTATCCTGTAAATGGAACTGCTCATAAATCTCAATCCTTTTGTCTCTTTCATTATATTGAGATATAATCCTAATCCAGTCTCGGCCCTGTCTGAGCCTTGCTTCTTGGACACTGGTTTGACATTGCCTTGCTGAAATAAACAAGGCCTTCCCTGAAAAAGACATCATTTGGATGATGGCATATGTTGCTAAAACATGTATATATTGTTTAGCCTTAATGGTGCCTTCACAGATGTGCATGTCACCCATGCCATGTGCACCCCTGAACTGTGCACTGATAACAAACTGAGTGGCCTTTAGCCCGGAAGACACAGTGTCCATGATTTCCAAAAATTTTTTTAAATGTTGATTCGTTGGACCACAGGACACTTTTCCACTTCCCCTCAGTCAATTTTAAATGTGCTCAAGCTCAGAGAAGGTGGCAGCATTTCTGGATCCTGTTTATATGTGGTTTCTTCTTTGCGTTTTAGAGATTTAACTTGCATTTGTCGATGCAGCGACAAACTGTTTTCACAGACAGCGGTTTCAAAAGCCCACAAAAGGGCATATATTTTTTCAAATAACTAAAAATTCTCACTTTCAACATTTGATTTGTTGTCTTTGTACTATTTTCAATGAAATATAGGGTTTAAATTATTTGAACATCGTTGCATTTTGTTTTTATTTACATTTTGCATAGCGTCCCAACTTTTTTGGACATGGGGTTGTAGATGTTCACAATGTCATTGAGTACAACAAATATATACAGATCACATTCATATCCTAGGAAATAATACTGACTATGCATACACACACACACACACATACACTTTCTAAGCCGCTTATCCTTCTGGGTCGCGGGGGAGCTGGAGCTTATCCCAGCAGTCATTGGGTGGAAGGCAGAAAACACCCCGGACAGGTCACCAGTCAATCACAGGGCATACTTAATATAATATTACATAAAGCATATAATACAGCAGGTCATTCCTTCAGCAGGGTTACTGAAGGGATTAGACCAAACATGGCAGACAGCAAGTGTGAGAAAACATCTCTTGGTCAAAGACTGCAGTGAATCCAGAGATTTTCTACCACTGTGTCTGTATCTAAATTAATTAAGTATTAATTATTTTCTTGCATACAAAAGAATATAATCATAAAATAATATAGTTATAAAATAATATAATTATAATAACCACAATAATAATAATAGTATATAATTATAATAACCCCAAGTAGGATGTCACTTATGCTCACCTAATGTTCAGACACTGCCCTGGTCTTCAGTGTCTATGCATATCTGTCTTATTAATAAAACACACATAGTCATATTTAAATGACATGTTGATTTTCAAAGTGAAAGTAAGTTAACACGTCCTCTACAGAGAACACACTTCTGTGCATTTTACGATACAATTGCTGTGTATTTGCAGAAACAAAAAATATGGCCTGTGCAAACATTATGGCACATTTTATACTGTGTGATTTATTTGGTTCCAATATGTTAAACTCAGCCAACAGACAGACAAGTGTGTTCTCTGTTCGCACATATCAACTAAACGTCATTTGACTGGGGGGTGTTTAAACTTGCTTTTGACTGTAACACACACACAGAAAATATTGTTTAATAAAGTAAATATTGTATAATATTGTATAATAATTTATGTTTTGGGAAGCTTTGAACCCTATATAATATATAATATTACATCTATCATATAAACTATCTATATATTGTATATATTATTAAATCTAATATCAATACAGAACATGAAATCAATATATAATAATATATCTAATATAATGTAGTTGTAATGTTTGGGTTGGATGGGGGAGACACTGTAACAACAGTCAACAGGGAGAAAATATGAAGTAAATTCAAAACCATATTATAATGTTAGATTTTTAGAGTGCGTTTACATGCTCTTAATCTGATAACTGCAGAAAATCAGATTTTGTCAGAAAATCCGATCAACATGTTTACATGCACTTGGGTAATCACTGGGGTCTACATTAAACAAACATATTAGAAAGGCTGGCTCCGTTGTATGAGTCAAGCTGGACTCTTAGGAGGTTGTGGCAGAACAAAGGATGCTCAACAAGCTGTTAGCAATCTTGGACAACACCTCACACCCCCTGCATACTACCCTGGATAAACAGAGAAGCACATTCAGTGGCCGACTGTTACAGCTGCGCTGTGTTAAAGAGCGTCATGTGAGATCTTTCTTACGCACTGCTAAAGGCTCTACAATGAGCCTCCTTACTGCAGAGACGGTACTGATCTCCTGCTGTCTGAACTGTGCTGAACCACATCACTATATCACCTCTTCTGTTAATACACACTGTGCAATACATCATAACTGCTACTGTAATGACACTCTCACTGCGCACCATACACTGCAATATTGCTGCAACTCCTAGTTATGTCTATACTCATTGTGCTTTTAGACTACCTCATACCACTTAGTAACTGCTATCATGTAAATACAACAAATCTGTCTTATATGCTATGTACAGATGCAAATAGAGTAGTGCTAGTGTAGCAGTAATGCTAGCGTTGTACTGCCCAAAACCTGTTTGCTGTAGAAAAAAGGAAATATACAGGTACGTTTTCCTTGCTTTTTAAGTGAAATATATTTTTTCTATTTTTTTAATTAAAGGAAAGTTCTGGACAAGTGATTAGAAACTATTTTAACTTAAGCCATCTAGCTCCATTCGTTCCCATTCATTAAGGATTCGCTTGCGGGTACCCTCTGCTGTTTTGCAGTCCTGTTTTTGATATAACAAGGGAAACAGGAAGAGGCCAGGCTCCTCATAAACCAGTGTTCTGACGAATTGTGCTATCTTGTTGTCTATCGTACTGCATATTTTTAGGTAGTGCTCTACATAAACTATCTACATACATAAATCTACATGTAGGACAATTTAAGCGCCTAAATCTCCTTATCAGAAAATGGAAATCTCTGGGGGCATTTTACAATGTTTTTGGTGCATAAAAAACACAAATATCACAGGTGAACTTAAGGGGACAAAATGAAATGCAAGAAGAAAATAGGATATGGGCCCTTTAAGGTTATGTTTATGCTATTTTGAACTATAGGGGAGCTCTTTAGTGTGAGTAGCTTAGTAAGGAGCTTTTTTGTTAATGAGCAACATTTTTATCATTCCATTTGAAATATACACCAAAATGTTTTGAAGCTCTACCGACACAGTTAGCCTCACAGCTAACCTGTTTAAAACAGGTGTGCCTGTCAGGCGAAACTGGAAAATCAGGAAGAGAAGAGAAAGTCAGTCAGGAAAACATCATGCTTGTCTACAGCACTGTAGACCTTCAGCTGGATATGACTGCTAACAGAAAAGTGTACAGTGAGTGCATTTTATTACATTTTACTCGAAAAAAGTTACGTTAAAATGATCTCAGTTTTATTTATAGCGCGGTAAATGATACATTCGCAGCTCTGGTAATGTTTACAAGCGAAGGAAGCTGGAGCTGGTTTCTTATTCGCCGGCTTCTCGTTCGAATTTTCCCGTTCCACCTTAAATATGCAGCAGTTACATTCTGGCGCATCAGGTGCCAGAACGTAACTGCTGCACTATTTGAGGTGGAACGGGAAAATTCAAACAACAAGCTAACTTCAGTTTCGTTACACACTAGGAGCCACCCGTGGAGTCTGAATGTAGCTCCTCACAACAAGCTAATCTTTAAGTTTTTTTCTCCTCCAGCTCGTCCAGACTGAGATGAACATACTGCTACACCCATGTTTTGTCATAACGTTGGCAGGTGTGTATTTCTCTGTTCACCCTTATGTTCTTTAGCTTGGAATTTTCCGTTCCACCTTAAATGGTGCAACGGTTATATTCTGACGCCTTTAAAGGGGAATTCCACCATTTTTTCAAAATTCCTGAATAATTCAGTCCTTAAGATGTAAACAGAGTCATTCAGAGTGGTTTGGTGTGAAATGGTTCATCATAGAGACTGAGATTTCTTTACAGTGGTGATAGGAACCAGGAGTCATCATGTCCACAACACAAATATAGACATTTTATCTACTATCCAAAACCAACAGTGAACTTATACGTGTCTTTGCCAAATGTTTCAGTAGTGACTGTGTCAGTAGGGACAATTTTAGCTTAATTTGGGCCGAACTCAAAAAGGCTAGCCAGTACATGACTAGCAGACACAACTTTGAACGTTTGTACACATAGTCATATTTTTCATTAAAACATAAAGACTATACTTAAATGGAGAAAATCTGTGGTGACAATTCTTGATGTTCCACGCTGATTTTCAGACTTTAGGACACGTACTTCAAAACAATGGGATGTAACTGCTCATCATGTAGTCATGAGGGACAGAGATGCAGTCTCACTTCCTTCTCTGAAATGCAGGGGCGTGGCTAGAGTGGGGCTCCACCTACAGACTAAAACTTCTGCTGTTTCGGTAGTGACATGAAAACATGGAACAGCATTTCTTTTTAAAAATTATACTTTTTTTATTTTGCTTAAAAGAAATCAAAACAGTCTCTAAAAAATGAAAGATTAAGATTAGGAACAAAGACAAAGACATTTTATTTACCGTCAAAAACCATCAGTGAACCTTCACATGTCTTCTGAGTCTTTATGTGTAATGTTGATGATGGTGAACTAGGCATAAATCTGAAAAACAACAGTTTTCTTTGGGGATTGTTTTGCCTTACAATGCCCTGTGTGTATCCCTCTGTCATCAATGGATAAAATAAATGGTTTAAAATGCTTTAACACAATACTATCGTAAAACAATGTGTCAGACATCAGGCAGTGTAATAATGACAAATTCATGTAATAACTTTGTCAGGGAGATTTTAGAGGCATTAAATTAAGGCATTTAACGCTTAAATGTGAAACCACTTGTCACATTAACAAAAACAACAGCTCTGCAATGAAGGAACATGAACTGTGCTTAGAAACTGGATAGATAGATAGACGGACAAATAGATGGATGGATAGATAGATGGACAGACAGACAGATAGATAGATAGACGGATAAATAGATGGATAGATAGATAGATTGACAAATAGATAGATAGATAGGTAGATGGATGGAGAGATGGATAGATGGACAGATAGACAAATAGATGGATAGATAGATGGATGGATGGATAGATGGGTGGATGGATGGATGGTTGGATGGATAAATAGATAGGTGGATAGATAGATTATACAGATGCATAAATAGAAAAAAGTAAATATATATAATAAAATATACTAAAACAACCATAAATATAATATTATATTATTATAATATTATAACATAATGTGCAGTACAAAAATATGTAAAATTGTATAAATATTACGCTGGTGACAATGCAGTGGTGCATGTCATGTCCACAAGTGACTAAACACTGTAAATGATAACATGTTAGTAGGTATGCAATATGCCTGGGTGGCAGTGCAGTATGCAATATTTACGCAAGTGGATGTGAGTTAGAGATGCTCCTCCTAATCGAAACTACCTTTGAAGGGTCAAAAGAGTTGAATAGAAATGGGTGCAACCAGTAAAACTACATTCTTTAATCTGAATGACGCAGTTTTTAAAATTCCCGTACAACCCTGTATGCTGCATAAATATGTGCACCACATTTTACAGTGTTTTCATTAATTAATTCACGCTTAAAGCAAAATAAAAGTTACACAGTTTTATAGATTTAAGCTGTAATTGATCAGCTAGAAGAAGAATCCCTCTGATTTTTTGGAAAAAAAATGTATGAATGTAAAAAGAATCATTCAGAGTGGTTTAGTGTGAAATAGTTGATTGTAGAGACTACAGTGGTGGTGATAGGAACCAGGGGTCATCGTGACTACAACACAAACATAGCCAAAACCACCAGTGAGACACACGTCTTCAGAGTTTTTAGAAGTTATGAAATGAGTAATGTAATGTTGATAATGGTAAAATAATTTTGAATAATAATAGTAAAAATTACAAAAAAAATTGCCTGTATGTATGTTAAAAATGTTTTAGACCAAAACCTTCTCAAAACTGTAGTAAAACAATGTCTCAAACAGCAACCATTATTAGGTTATCTTTCCTAATTTTAACTTCTTTTCATCAGTGCTGCCCTGGACGACTGTGTCTCAAAGCCTGGTGCCCATCCAGTTTCAGACGTCTCCTGTGCTGGTGGCTTCAGGAACTAATGCTGTTTTTACGCTGCAAACCATCACCAGCACCTTTTCCATCGCATGGATTGCTCCAGGAGGGAGCACCCTCGGCCAGTGGGTCGGAGGCCAGGCCGTGCTTAACTCAGTGCCTCAGTACCAGGGCAGAGTGACCATCACGGCCACTCAGCTCACCATCAGCTCCACCCTACTCAGTGACGCTGGAAACTACACGGTCACTGTAGTACCAACTGCTACCACTGGATTCACCACCAACTCCCTCTCTGTAGCCTTGAGAGTGTTTGGTGAGTCATGTGTTTGTGTTCAGCACTGATAGACTACTTGCCCAGTCGTTCTGGAAACTGTCTGACGTGTTCAGAGGTGAAAACAATAAGCTGTGCTGTTCAGTCTGTTAGCACATTCCATGTATATTTGCAAGTGTAAATCTATTTTTGGGTTTTAAAAGGATGGTGAGACACACCTGTGTTAAACATTTCAAGACAAAGCACAAGTCTCTGTAGCCAATCACAGTATAGTGCAAATGAGCAAATGGAGCAGATATTTACTTCAGAGAGGCGCTTAGATTTTCACATGAACAAGGTGACTAATCACATAGTTATTATTTATAGTTGTATGGTTAATAATGTCTTTTGTCAGCTCAGTTGTAATACTTTGGAAACAATAATGTAGATTAATGTTCAGGAATGACCTAATCAGTAACATAGCACAACATGAGCATGTTAAGTACATATATGTATATATACACACATATAAAATGCTTGTGTGTGTATACACCGATCAGGCATAACATTATGACCGCCTCCTTGTTTCTGCGCTCATTGTCCGTTTTATCAGCTGCACTTACTATATAGGTGCACTTTGTAGTTCTACAGTTACAGACTGTAGTCCATCTGTTTCTTTGCATACTTTGTTAGCCCCCTTTTACCCTGTTCTTCAGTGATCAGGACCCCCATGGACCCTCACAGAGCAGGTGCTATTTGGGTGGTGGATCATTCTCAGCACTGCAGTAACGCTGACATGGTGGTGGTGTGTTAGTGTGTGTTGCGCTGGTCTGAGTGGATCAGACACAGCAGTGCTGCTGGAGTTTTTAAACACCTCAGTGTCACTGCTGGACTGAGAATAGTCCACCAACCAAAAATATCCAGCCAACAGCGTCCTGTGGGCAGAATCAGAATCAAGCTTTATTGGCCAGGTATGCTTACACATACAAGGAATTTGGTTTTGGTTACAGGAGCTCACAGTGCACAGTATCAGACAAACATTTACATGTAGTGAATAAAATAAAATAAAATACAGTAAGATAAAATACAAAAAATAAAAAAATAATAAAACATGCATTCCTACCATCACTCACTCATACACACACACACAGTCATACCTGTAACCTTTACATTGTGCAAAGTATACGTCTAAAGTGCAAGTGCTGAGTGCAGCAGCAGTTAGAGGGTGTATAGTGGCAGGGAAAGGGATCAGTGAGGAACAGTCAGAAAGGTGGGGTAATATGGCAGGTAAGTAAGATGCTAGAATAAACACTGGTTTGAGACGGTAGTTTCAGAGGATGCAGTTGAGTGTGATACTATATACCAGTATATTTAGAAGTGCAGTTTTGAAGCTGGAATATTGTTTATGTGTAATAATTAACTGTTTAAGAGAGTAATAGCTTGTGGGAAGAAGCTCCACTGTAGCCTGGATGTCCTGATCCTCGTCTGGCTGAAGCGCCGGCCTGAGGGAAGGAGCTGGAACAGGTGGTGCCCAGGGTGTGAGGGGTCTCTGGAGATCTTCTCTGCACGCTTCCTGGTTTTGGAGGCATGCAGTTCCAGCAGTGTGGGCAACTTAACCCCAGTTGTCCTCTTTGCAGACCTGATGGTGCGCTGCAGTCTGTGGAGGTCATGCTTGGTGGCTGAGCTACCCCACACTGTGATAGACATGGTGATGACGGACTCTATGATGGCTGTGTAGAACCGCACCATCAGCTCCTGGGGCAGGTTGAACTTCCTCAGCTGATGCAGGAAGTACATCCTCTGCTGGGCTCTTTTGATGATGGAGCTGATGTTGCTGTCCCACTTCAGGTCCCTGGTGATTGTTGTGCCCAGGAACAGGACTCTACTGCCACCACAGTTCTGTCCAGGATGGTGAGTGCTGGCAGAGTTGGAGGGCCCCTCCTGAAGTCCACTGTCATCTCCACTGTTTTTGTTGTATTCAGCACCAGGCTGTTGTGGCTGCTTCAAAGGACCACCTGATCAACCACCTGTCTGTAAGCAAACTCGTCACCGTCTTGAATGAGACCAGTGACTGTAGTGTCATCTGCATACTTCAAGATTTTGACGGAGGGGTCTGTGGAGCTACAGCTGTTAGTGTACAGTGAGAAGAGCAATGGTGAGAGTACACAACCCTGTGGAGCGCCTGTACTGATGATCTGGGTGTTTGAGGTGAACTTTCCCAACCTCACCTGCTGCTCTCTGCCAGTGAGGATGTTGGTGATCCACTGGCAGGCGGGGGTTGACAGCGTCCTATGACCACTGATGAATGACTAGAGGATGACCAACACAAACTGTGCAGCAGCAGATGAGCTATCGTCTCTGACTTTACATCTACAAAGTGGACTGACTAGGTAGAAGTGTCTAATAGAGTGGACAGTGAGTGGACAGTGTTTAAAAACTCCAGCAGCACTGCTGTGTCTGATCCACTCACACCAGCACAACACACACTAACACACCACCACCACATCAGTGTTACTGCAGTGCTGAGAATGATCCACCACCCAAACAGTACCTGCTCTGTGAGGGTCCATGGGGGTCCTGATCACTGAAGAACAGGGTAAAAGGGGGCTAACAAAGTATGCAGAGAAACAGATCGACTACAGTCTATAATTGTAGAACTACAAAGTGCACCTATAATAGTACGTGGAGCTGATAAAATGGACAATGAGCGTAGAAACAAGGTCATAATGGTCATAATGTTATGCCTGATCGGTATATATTGTTTCAAATGTTTCAAAATTTCTGCATAATTCAAGTCAGAGTGGTTTGATGTGAAATTATCTGTTCTAGAGAAAGCTGGATTTCTTTACAGTGATGGTGATAGGAACCAGGGGTCACAATGCCCACAACACAAATATAGCTATTTTCTTTGCTATCTAAAACCAACAGTGAACTTACACGTGTCTTCTGAGCTTTATGTTTGATGCTGATGATATGGTAAAATAGTAGTAAAAAAACTTTTTTTGGGACTATTTTGTCTCTTAATGCCCTGAATATACCTCTCCACCATGAATGGCTTTTTAAACAACAATACAAAGAGTCATTGATGCAAAGCACCAGCATGTAGTACCACAAAAGTCCTAGAAAACATGCACTGCCAGTGTGTTCACAATGCTCAAGGTTGTGTTCACTCTAGTTGCTTGATACTGTCAGTAGCTCCCCCTTGTGGACAATCTTGGTAAACATGAGTGAGTTACAAGCCAGGTCCATGAGGTGCTTCACATCTAAAAATACATTTTAGGCCACAAGCTTCTTAAACGTAACATGTTTCAGGCATTAGATAACATATTTATAACCATTTCTTTGTAGTAACTTTCTGTGAGGGAGCTTTTAGAGGCATTAAATGGTTCAGATATCTGGTTCCTATCACCACCACTGTGAACAATTCTGAATCTGTAAGTTTTTTCTAGAATGGAGCATTCACACCTTTCTTTCTAATCTGACAGTAAGGTAGCATTGGTAGCATTGGTCACATATCTGAATCACTAATATCCCTTTGATTCTGTGTAATAACACTTTAGATGCTGTGGGTCAGGTGAGTCTGTTCGTGCCCTCTATGTCTATAGAGGGTGGAAATGTGTCTCTGCTCTGCAGCTGGACTAAAGGCACTGAGACCAGTGTAGCATGGGGGAAAGGTGGCTCTAGCCTCACGGCGGACACTCACATCACCATCAATGCTGGTTCTCTGATCATCAGCCCAGCCAAGCGGAGTGATGCTGGTCAATATGGCTGCACTGTGAGCAACCTCATCAGCGCCCAAACAGCAACGGCAAGCCTCACTGTGTACTGTGAGTTCATCTTCGCTTTTGGTGTAGATATGCTGTAGATTTCATTTGTTATTACCAGTATTGGTGCTGAAAACATGTAATTACTGCAAAAGCTTGGCTCATTCTATCCAACAAATCAACAAATCTACAGGCAGTGTTTTGGCAGGTCATTAGCAAAATAGAGACAGAAAGATTTATATCTGTTTGAGGTGAACTTTAAGATGAAAAGTAACTTCATGACTTTTGTTCTTCAATTCCGGTCCAGCACAGTTTGCTGATTTCCTTGCTCACACACGCCTGGTTTGATTCATCTTTTAATTGTAGAGCTGGGACCATCTGTCGATTTATTGATAACTACCAAAAACAGCAAGTAGAATTTATTGTTTTCTTTTCCTCTCCTTTTTGTATTCATTAGTACGATGCTCTGTGATCCCACTCCACTCCACTCCTGATTTTACTTAATTATCACACCAAGTCGATTAAGGGTGCAAAACTATGACTATGCATCGTGGAGAACAGACATTCTATTAAATATGCCATCTAATGAGGTTGCATTGATTGAACACCAAAGTTTGTAAATGAGCAGGTCAGTCCCAGTTATTACCTCATTCTAGCACTCCCCCTGCCTCCCAGGTTTAGTAAGTATGAAGTGTAACAACATGATTATAGTCATAATTTTCCTTCATTTGAATTTCATTCAAAATACTGTGAAAATGCTGTATTGTGTACCCTGTATCATGAATCAAATCCAGTTAAATCTTGGGATGGGTGCATCGTTGGAGTTCTTAGAGTCGATTTTTACAGATAAAACGGTGAATAACATTTCTAACGCACAGAAACCTTCACATTAAGTCCAATATGCCTTTGTTATTAGGCAAACACTAATAATGGAACATGGAAGAACTGGATCCATTGAGTTCTAACAGTGACAGACTTTTTTAGCCAATTGAGCAAACAAAAACAAACTAAAAGAACAACCACAATGCAAATAAACAACACGAAAGTGTAAAATATGCATGTTTATGCATCAGAACTATACACACTAGATGTATATTGGAATTTTGCTGTGCTCTTCACACAACGAGGAGAACCAAACAAATGGCCGAAATGTCTTCAAGTGCAAAAACATTTCCTTAATTTTGCTCCTCACTAAGGATGTGAATTTGTATTGCACTCTATTTTGTATATACATGGCTTTAGGCTTTATTGAATGAAAAACACAGCCTAATGTAACAGATTAGACAGTAATGAAATATGCAGTTTACTTACTTACATTTACCACATATATACCAGAAGTTAACAAACATATATAGCCTGACTGGGGCTAGCATGAAGTCAATAGGCATAGTTTAAACAAGATAACACTGGTAGCTCAAAACTTTAATGCTGTTTTTGTCATTGGACTAACCACATAGGCTAACCTCAGGCATAACACATTTGTTATAGCTCAAAGCTGCATTTAACAGAAGCAAAATAACATTAATAAAAAGACTCAGTTGTTGCCTAGCTTAGCACTGTGACGTGGCTAAATAGCTTAGTTGCGGTACTGCTGTGAGGTACATTTAGGGTGGTTTAATCTCTGCCTTTCCCATTGGATCTGGTGCTACCGGTCAAAATTAAAGGGAGTTGGAGTCGACTCCAGAAAGTAGAAAACCACCTATTCAAATATCAGTTGTCGATCGGAAATTAAATAAATTTTTATCCCAAAGCATTTATGTATTTGATACTTAACGATTATCCAGTTAATCAGTAACATTAATTACTGCTCACAAAATGGGCAAACAGTGATATGGGTAGGCTACTCTTCATGTTTGAGAGTGAAAGTAGCGTGAAGAGCTTTATGAGGCGCTGTGCATTTAGCATAGATGTCTGTAGGCCAGTTTTAGCCCCATTTGAGATGCTTTTGGAGATAATAATAATAATAACAATAATAATAATACTTATAAAGAACAAACCCAAGGATTACATTGCCTTTTTTTAGCTTTAAATTGAGAAGCAAAATAGCAATGAAAAAACCTTCTGAGACCTGAAGTAAGAAGAACAGTGTGCAGTAAAGAGGAAGACTTTAAGTTGAGCTTTAAAGCAAAAGAGGGTAGAGCAGTCACGAAGAGACTGTGGGAGAGTTCCAAAGTTTAGGAGTAGCAGCACTAAAAGAAATGCCGCCAACTGATGAGAGTCTTGTGCGTTGGACTGCTAGAGGTCCAGTGTCAGAAGATCTGAGACAGCGAGAGGGACAGTAAGGATGAAGGGGCTCACTAAGGTATGTAGAAGCGAGACCACGAAGGGCTTTGAAAGTTAGCAGGAGAACTTTATACTTGATGCGGGAACCTACTGGGAACCAGTGAAGCTGATGAAGGATAGGTGTGATGTGTGCAGAAAGCTTGGAAAAAGTGAGATCTTTGGCTACTGAGTCTTTAATAGACTGAAGCTGGTTGAGCAAATTCACAGGAAGAGCATTAAAAGGGAGTCGAAATAATCAGTGTGGGGAAAAAAATGAAGCATTTTTGCATCAGCGTTGTTGAGCAGAGGGCGGAGGCATGCAATATTGCGTAAATGATCAAATGCAGTCTTAGGGACATAGTATGAGGCTCAGATATAGGTAAAGAGTTAAAAAAATTAAGGTTTTTATTGACTTGAACTGATTTAATAGGAACACCAGCATTCACAATGAAATTGGAGAAACTGGGAAGCAGTGTTTTAGGCCCACAAGACTTCATTAAACTTGACCACAACGCAGTAACACATTAGCCCTAAACCATACACCGTGTTAACCAAAAATCAGAAGATGCAAAGAGCAAACTAATTCTCTTCAAACTAATTCTTATGACATTTGTCAGAAAGTTCCAGCTTGGTTGCTGCCATGTCAACGGCAGAGACATCAGTGAATTGTCAGAGAGTTAATGTCACTGGTGAAAATTTGCAACAATCAAACAAAGGGAGAATATTTTTTTTTCCATCTGAAAAATTGTATTTGGCGTGCAAGATATCAGCTATACACATGCTGGAATTCATTTTCTTGTCAGCCCAATAAATTGTTTGTAAAGGTCTTCAATATTTAAATTTTTAAAACTTTTTTAAAACTCGGACTTAAGGTCGAGAGGCCTTAAGGCTTTGCCCGCCCTTGGACAGAAATGGAATCTCGTAGATAAACTGAATATGTAATTTTAATATATCTGTAGTTTTAACAAATTTAAATATTGGTATTTATTTATCATTTTATACCAATTTAAAGATTTTTCAAACTTGCTTATCATCCCAGCCCTAGTTAATTGGCAGGTTTAGTAGGTGCGTTTGTGCAGGGAAATACTAAACAATACTGGCCCTCCTGGACTGGAACTGAAGAGCCATGCTTTATGGCACAGTAAACGACAGCATATAGCACAACTCACGTATGATAACATCAATAACATACTTCTGTATCTCCACCAGATGGTCCAGACACCCCTCAGTTGACTAAAACGTCTTCAGAATGTGTAGGTGGGGGAGATGCCACAGTGGGTCAGACGGCCAAACTCACCTGCACGTCTGTCTCTCTGCCACCTGCTCTGTTGTCATGGCGATATAACGGTAACCTGCTGACGACGAGCCAAACGGATGGCGGCACACTAAATCTGCAGGTTTTCTCCACCAATCAGAGTGGGCAGTACATCTGTACAGCACAAAACAGCATCACACTGGGCACCTCACAGCAGCAGATCAGCTTCAGCGTTGTGGGTGAGTTATCTGCAAGCCCTGTTTCTCTACGACAGATGCGTGAGTGCTTGACTAGCATCAGTTTTCTTGCCTGGAGAGCTATTTTCTTTCTGTTTCTGACAAACATAGATTGACAAATACAGATGCTACCACACTGGAAGGAATACGACTGTAATGATTTTCGCTTCTTTTTCCATGGTCTTTCATATATTACTCACTCTGTTATGCAGTGTTAGAATTCTATCATTTGCTTCTCTACATTACTTCATATCAGAGCTCCACTACTTGTTATTATTATTAACCTTTATCATTGCACCATTCCTTTTCCACATATGCAACCACACACCCACACCGTTCATGCACCTGTCTCTCCTCAGGAACGTGTCTCAGCGTGGGCGCAGTTGCAGGAATTGTTGTGGCTTGCTTTGTTGCTCTCGTCTTAATTATTGTTGCCATTGTGCTGCTGATACGCCAACGGAATGGTAAAGCTTATCTTTTCTACGCTATGAGCATTTTAAGCAGTTTTAGTGTGACTTTATGTATCATATTCACTAATTCCTATTGCAGTTGATCAGAGACTCAGAAATGTCACTGGACAGCAGAAGACAGACCTGAATAACAGACCACCAGTAAGTAAAACATCCTCTTGTATACCTGTTTGCAGTGGTTACACTGCAAAAATTATATCTTGGCAAGTGAAAACATCTTGTCAATATATTTACTATTTCTCATTTAATGATTGTTTTAAGAATATTTTGAGATTAGTTTTAAGTGATTCTATCTAGTGAAATTATTCAGCAGTCTCAATTTGTGAAATATTACATATATTGACTGGAGTTAAGATTATTACACTGGCCAATATATGATGATTTGTTGCAGTGTATTCCGTTTAAGAGAAGGCACTGATGTGATTTTATATCCTCTTTCTAAGGTTCTTCCAGTTCCACAGAATGGCCTTGATACTTCTGCGGTGATTGGTAATGGTGACCAACCTGATCCACCGCTGCACAATCTGAACAGGCTCAATCTCCCAAAAAATCAAGAAACAGTGGCCAGTTTCTGGCACACTGGCCAAGAAAACAACGAAACACTGACACAAAACAGACTCAACAGCACTAATCTTAACACTGACACATTACCAAACAATGGCATCCGCAACTCCAGTGCCCACCCGTACAATGGCCATCAAAATAGCAATTCATATCCACACAATGGCCTGCATAACTCCAGCTTGTTCCCACAGTCAGGCCAACAGAACCCAAATGTTCTCATACAAACAGGCAATGGCGAGCCAGGTACTCAAACTGTACTAATAAATCTCAATCCACTGCCACATATGGAGCCACGGAACACCACCACACAACCCCACATGGTGCAAGTCAGTCTCAATGCTCCTCAACCATTTCCAGGCCAGCCAAACCAGAATGACACACAGTATAATGAACAGCAAAACAATACATTACCGCAGCATCTTGCTAATGCTAGCCAGCAAAATCTCTCAAATGTTGTTGTGCCACGCTCCAGAGCTCATGTAGTGGAAAACATGCGTAACACAGACCAAGCTGCCTTGAATAGCACTTTAAGAACTCAAAACCAAGTGCCCAGTGGCCTTGTTCAGACTGGCTACTCACACCCCACCAACCAAACCTTGACTAGTCTTAACATTAGAGCTACAGATCCTTCCTCAGAGCTCCGTCACAGGCGCTCGAACGATGCACGCTCCAGATCTCCTGACCCCATGTCAAGTACTAGCACACATCTCCATCAAATGCCATGGGATCGCCTTCGGGGTACACCAGCATACCCCAATCCTCAAGTGGACAGTTCAGACAGTTCAGAGTCTCAAACTACAGCACTGCAAGGTAGACCAGCACGGTCAGATCCACAGAGGGGACGGTCATCTCAGGTTCCCAGACCGAGGTCACCTGTAGATGCCCAGATTCGGACTGTTTCCAGGACACCGAGGAGAAACGTTCAGAGGGATGCAGGTGACAGTATAGCAAGTCCCTCTCAAATGGACCCGAATGTGCAGAGGCAAGATGTACAGCGCAATGCTGGTGCTTATCTACATGCTGCTCATGAAAATCAGGCTGCTGTACCCCAGAATCCTTTTGTCCAGGCACACGGCACACAAAATGCAGGGGCATCCCAGAGAGCAAGCGTCCCTCAAAATCAGACAACCCAAGTACAGACTGCTAAACCGCCACAAAATGCCAACCCTCCAAACTCTGTCCCTCTCACCCAAGCTGCCCTGCAGCTGCACACCAATCACACTCCCAAACCATTCACCAACCGAAACCAGCAGACCCAAGCTGCTTTGCAACACCCTGGACCTGGGTCAAGACCTGTCCAGCCCAGTCAATCCCAACCTCGTCCTACAGCAGAGACAAAGCAGACAGGCCAGAGGCCACCAACTCCCCCTCCAGTTTTGCGGCCGGCGGAGTTTCGGACATTACCGCAAGATCCTCTGCGGCAACCGAGGACGCTACAGCCCGCTCACGTGATGAGGCCTCATGGTCAAAGACCTCAGAATATGCACAGACACGCCATGCATACCAGTCCACAGAGACACACAGGGAACCCGCACACGCATGGCAACCCAAACAGACACGGCAATGCGCCAGCCCATAGACACCCTCCACACGTGAGCCAGGTGAGAGCTTTGGTGTAGACTGTGCCTGGTTCCATTAAACATCTTAAGATGAGTTTTCCCTTAAGTTTACCTTTAAGATTTTTTGTTAAGATTGAAATAAGTAGCATTTCTGAGTCAGGAGAAAAAAAAAACAGGCTAAAACACAGTGTGTGTGCTGCTTTACGTACTAAAGCCACTGGCTCAAAAAGAAGGTCCAACTTAGTGTATGGATCTCAAAGTCAAAGTTATATTAATGAAAATATGATGACAATAATAGATAATTCACTCTTATCTTCAGAAGACACGTCCTTGACCAAGCTCTGACTGTGTTCTCTTACTCGCTTGCAATCATTTGGATTGAACTGCTTGGGGAAGGGGTCCAAAGCACAACCCACATTACACAATGTTCTTCTGCACATTGTGTGCATTTCCACATTTCCACCAGAGAGGTCTTCAGATCTTTCATAGTGTAGCTTTAAGTGTGTTGCACAAAAAAGCCCTAAAGTGGAATTCCAACAATTTCTAGATTTCTGCATCATTCAGTCTTTAAGATGTGAACAAAGTCAGTCAAGGGGTTTGATGTGAAATGCTCCATTCGAGAGAAATTTACTGACTGAATTTCTTTATAGTGGTGCAGATGGGAACCAGGGGTGAATACCTGACAAAGCAGACTTTCTGCAGTTATCAGATAATTGAGTGCATGTAAACACCCTTCAGAGAAAATAACAGGCATTCAATGATCCAACTAATTTTTTGTTAGAAAGAGTTTTTTATTTTGGGCTGTGAGAATATACAGTTTTACTCTGTTCCAACTGTAGAGACCGATAACCCAGAGGAAATACTCTAAATAAGATCTCCTCTTAATCTCTTGTACTTCTCCTAGACATGGTTATGATTGAAATCAGAGTGACTCTTAGGCCATTTTCTTCTGTTTCTGAAATTTGGCTCCTGAGAAATAGCCCCGATTTTCTCACTTTGATCAAAATATTGTCACACATATGGATGAACTTGTGTCTGACTTATCTCACTCCAGTCTCAGCTGAATAAGATTTCCATAACAAAAGTGTAAGATCTCATTGTTTGCTTATACAGCTCTATTCTATATTCCAGAACTCTTTCAGCTGTCTGTCAGTGTAGAAGGAGAACTCATGCTTTTCTCATTCATCACCAGAACTTCTTACAGTTAAATGCTGATGTTAACCTCCTCTTTTCTCTTGGTTTAAGAGAAAGAATACAGAAATCAGTGATCCTTCATTAATACAAGACTAAGATCTGCTTCATTTTTTTTAAAGGCAATCTTAAGAAAGACATTTTTCCTCTGGGAAGCTTCAAATCTTGGCCTGACATGAAAAACGTGACATACAGAGCCAGTTACACTGGTGTTAAAAACAAACATCTAAAGCAAGTGGTAAACAGTCTCTGACAGGAAGTGTTTTTCATGTTCATGTCCCTCTCTGGGCAGGGTTATCCAACGAGAGGAAGACACACTTTGCTGGTGCTTAAACCAAACACCCACACACACACACACACACACACACACATCTTCTAAGCCGCTTCTCCCTCAGGGTTGCAGGGAGTGCTGGAGCCTATCCCAGCTGTCATCGGGCGGAAGGCAGGATACCCCCTGGACAGGTCGCCAGTCCATCGCAGGGTTAAACCGAACAGTTCTTTTAATATCTTGGCAGGTTATCAAAACTGATCTTAGGAGAGTCAATTTAGTATTAACCAGATTAGCTGGTAATAGAAGGTTCCATTAATGACAGAATGCTGTCATAGATATGATGCAACTTTACAACAGTAAACCCCAGTCGTTGCAATAAACCCCTCAGCATTATCCTTTAGCTAAGATAAATGGGAGATGATAATGGCCATGTGGAGCCAAACAAAGCAAAAGTAGCAATTTCACCACCTAACAAGTGATGTAGCGGTCATTGAAGGAGAAACTCTTTGTTGGACTTTACTGTATGTCTGTTTAGATGTATTTACTCTGTTTTATAATAACCATACATATAAAAACTTAACATTACCCTGTATAAATGATTTGATAGGCTCTGTGGCCTTATATTGCTCAGTTGGTGAATAAAGACGCAATCCAATGTCTATTAATACATATATCATCAGGGGAATATACCACTGTTAAGGCTGCTATTTTGATTTGTCAGATATTAAAAGCTTAAATTATAGCAAATTTTACTTCTCAGTTTTTAAATTCTTTAAAGTGTTACCAGTGAAGAGATTATTTCTCTTACCTGTTTAATTTAGCACTTTTTAGTTGTCTAGCATTAACATTACAACAGGCAAGTAGGTTTGCCTAGAATAAAACAGATAAACAGTTCATTTTGAACCTCTTTATTCATATTTTAGACCACAACTGCACAAAAGCACTTTATAACATTACAAAATAAGGTGAACCCAACCCCCTTTTGGTGTGCTAAGTTAGCCAGTTCATTAACTACAGCTTGCTAAAACTGTCTGAATATTGCACTCCACTGACAGCTGCTTTATTTGGTAATCAGTTCTGACTTTTTGAGCAATGTGCTATGGATATGCATGCCCAGTGGGTGCATTTAGTATCTCTCAAGAGAAACGCCTGAGGTAAAATCAAACTGACAAAATATTTCACTTTAACTGTAGTCAGTCAGCCAATACATATTTGGGTCCAATCCCATTGCACCCCTCGCTCCTACCACTTAGCCCTTTCCCCTCCATTTTGCGTGTTCACTTCTAGAGGTAGGGTGTCCCGAATTTTGTTGAGATAAAGGGGTAGGGCGAAGTCTTGGGGCTACATGACCCTCCAAACTGAGGTTTTTCCAGAGGCACACTCCAAATAGAGTGTTATGAGAGAAACAGCAAGATGGCTGCGCAAGCAACTAAAGAAACCCACAAATGTGAGAATTTTCTCTGAAAAGAATTATAATAACCACTGTATTATCTTAGTTTAATGTCGTTTCAGTGTATTATGGTCCTTTTCTTTATAACAAGCTACCAAGACATCTGTATACTATATAGTAGTATGCGGATGTCTTGGTAGCTAGCTTGCTAAATTTCCCGTTCCACCTTAAATTGTGCAGCAGTTACAATCTGGCGCCTTTTATTTATTAAATTTAAGGTGTCTTATGCAACCAAGCACAGTATCTGTAATGCAGAAAGAGCTGCTGAATGCATTAGCTTGCCATGTCTGCGGTTGCACCCATTTATTGCACATCTGAGCACTATAACCACCCACGTGTCATGTTCTGACGTGCTAGTTTTGTTGCACTTACTTATCAGGTACATTTGTACTCAGAATGTGCACAGTTGATATTATTTATTTATTTGTCTATATTTATCTGACAGCATATGAGTAATACTTTCCTGCAGGTGTGCTATCATAGCAGCAGAGGCCTATGTATTTAGAAGTAGGGCTCTATCTGCCATGTTTTACTGCCTCACTGTGTCAAATAGTGTGTTGGACATGAATCTATCTCTTTCTTTCTCTCTCTCTCTTTCAAAAGGTCCACAGAAGTAGACCCAGACTCTGAGACAGCCCATTGCTTTGACGAAGCACAACAATGACAGCAAGACACATGCTGGTAAAATACAATTTAGGGGGGAAACAGAATATAGCAGACATTGTGTCACACTTCAGTAGCATTTTTCACTTCATTGTACTTCAGAGCTGTTGTTTCACCAGCTGTATAACTATAGAGAATACTAATTGTGAAATGGCCATATCGCATAGGCAAATAAAAATTGAACTGTTAAAGATTTTCAATAGACTACAGTGTAGCTTTCTGTATGATGACTATCTACCAGTGAAACAATGCTACTTTGGGATAACTTCTTACTCATTAGAGCCCGAACATAATTCACAATGCAGAGTGAAGTGTCGCTCTGTCGAGTGGAGGACTTGGACCGGATCCAAGTGGGAAAATGAGGCCAAGCTACCAGAAAGCGCTAAATGATAACTAATGGACTTCCAGTTTTGTGCGTTCTCACACAGCTGTTTATTCAGCGCTCGCTTCACAGATGCTTCTTGCGACACTGCTCAATTAGCGCGATGCGCCACGGTGCCCATGTGGACGAAATGCTCAGCAAACTATGAAGGAGAGCCGCCAAACGGACATGCTCTTATTAATTATGCACATTTATTTAATGTTAATGACTTGGAAAATACTAATGACTTGAAGTGGTGGAGGTTGTCGAGAAGGGCTCAGGCAAATTGGTTTCCGAAAATAAGCTCGACAAAGTAATAATTTGTTTCAGCTGACTTTTTCTCATTCCACAGAAGGCTTTGCTGATTAATTGCAAATGTGATTGTTTGGCTTTTTATTTTTTCTTGTTTATTTAATGTATTCATTAGCTTTTCTCCTGTTGTTAGCTGATGTTAAAGTAAACTCCATGTAGCCTCTAACCTTTGGTCTTACTATTGAATTAAACTGAAAACAAAAGTTTTAGGGAACCCAGGTTGCAGTACATATACTGAAAGTAAAGACAATGTTACTGTCATCATATCTCATGTTTACCATTTTGTGGAGGATTTGATGCAAACACATTAGTATATTCAGGAGAGCAAGCAAATTCCATATGGAACAACAGTAGCTCTCATTTTGAATGGCGTTCCCAAGCAATAAGCAATAACAATAGCAAATATAGCCGCAAGCGGAAATCTGCGGGGTCCAAGCACTAGGAAGACACCGAGGAATAGAGTAGTGGCTCCTGGTCGTAGAAGGCAGCAGATTTTTAGAAAGATCTCCTTTTCGTATGATTAAGACCACTAGGTGATACATCTGCTACAATCTACGCAACTCATTTTAACATCCATGACAGGGATTCGAACCCACAACCCTAGAGTTCAAAGGCTCTAATGGTGAGCTACTGTCTGTGGCAAAACTGCAGTTTTTGAAACAATTTATTGAAAGGAAGCAACAAGGAACCACACACCATTTTAGGACAAAGTAGCAGCATGAACAAATTTCATGTCTCTGGACATAGTAGGCAGCAAATTGATGGATTTTTAAGAAAGACCCTTCATTAAGATAACTAAGTGTGTGTTCACAACAACTGCTACAGCACCATCCAATACCTGTGACAGGGAATCAAACCCACTACTTTACTCTTCAAAGGCAGATGTTTTCATGGTGAGCTACAAGAGGCCCACAGCAGACCTGTTTTTTTGAGAGAATTTATTGGTATGGAGCAATAAGGAGCCAAGCACCATTTTGGGAATTAGTTTCCACCTTGCAATTACTTTGACTATTGAGGAGTATAATTCCAAATGAAATCATAATACACTGTCAGTTTGTCATTTTGTATATTTGTGTCAAATTGGGTTATATTCAGACAATTATTGGTGTATTATTAGCCTTTTATGGCAGAATAAGCCAGTTCACATCAATTTCTTCAAATCTTCAGCCACACTGTGATTAAAAGTCATGATATTTTCAATATGATTGTTTTAAGAAAAGATTTTTCAGCTGTGATATTACTGAATTCAGATATTACTGACAAAACTGAAAGTTTTTTAAGACTTGTATTTGAAAAATTGTTAGACTTATTGGAAAACATAACATTCAGAAATGCTCTTCGCTTAAAGACATACAGTAAAGTTTTCCATGTATATGTCAACAGTGATGTGCAGTTACTGATTTGGCTCCCTCTGGTGGAACAAAATTTGTTGAAATCAATCATAGGATTTTCTGTACAGTACAACCTACACATATTTGCAAAGTGACAATTCTCATTAGGATGCATAATTTGAAACAATTGTCATGTTTTTATTGTTTTTATTCTTAGACAGGAATAATTACATTTTAGAAAAACAATAGAGTTTTTAAAAGACTTGTATTTGCAAAATTGTCAGGCATGGTGGAAAGCATAAAATACAGAAATGGTCTTGACCTAAAGACATACAGTAAAGCTTTCCACTAATTGTATATTTTCTGTTAATTAGTTCAACATTGACATTTACAGTTACTGATTTGGCTCCCTCTGGTGGCCAGAGAAATATAAAACACCTTTTGCGCTAATTATTAAAATTTGTTGAAATCAAATTATATGATTTCCTATACAGTTAAGCAACCTACACATATTTGCAAAGTGTTAATTCTCATTAAGATGCATAATTTGAAACAATGTCTTTATTTTAATCTTAGACAGGAATAATTACATTCTAGATTGCTGGCAGTCCATTGAGCATTGTAAGAGCCAAATTAAGTCAATTCAAGCCAAATGTCATAGGTTTCCTCAGCTGATTATTTTCAAAGTATAGATCAATTTTGGTCACAATCAGAGCATAAGTGACAGATTTGTGGTCCCTTGTTTCCGAATAGGCTGGACCGCACTGACTGATCCATAACTTGCAATAATATTGTGCTTAAAAGGCAAGATTTTTAAAAATAATTGTTGATCTTAACACTTTGACGGTTGTTTAGAGACCAAGTTTGAGATGTTGCAAAAACATTTCAACAAGCAGTATGAAAACATCAGTTTTCAAACTCTGATGATTTACAGAAAAACAATATAGTTTTTTAAAAGACTTGTATAAGCAAAATTGCTTGGCTCAGTGGAATACATAAAATTCAGAAAGTTCCTTTGCCGCAAGATGGATGTTGCAAAGACTATGACCATAAGTATGTTTGAAGTAATAATTTGCATTTAATGCTGATGCTTCCTCTGCTGGGCAGAAAAGATATTACCCTTATTAATTGTGTGGCCAACCTCGGTTTAAGTCAAATTTCCAGATGTCTTGTGCAATTTTGGAACACACATATAATTGCACTGTTTTAGATGCTAATGAGATGTGTAATTTAAAACCACTGTCTTTTCTTTATTTCATTCATAGAAGAAAATAATGACAATTACGCACTAGATTAAGTATTGTAGGGGCTTATGACAAATCAATTTAAATGAATTTGCATGTTTGCTCAGAAAATGGTATTGTACAAGTTTACCAAGATTTATCACAATCACCTAAAAACTAAAGAATCTATAGCCCCCTAAGTCAGAAAAGGCCAGGCTGCACAGATTCATTGGTGTCATATGGCAAAAATATTTTATTTTATATTTGCAAAAAGTCAAAGTTTTTTTGATAATTATTTACCTACGGACTCCACAGATTATTTTAAGACCAAAATTGAAACAATTGTCTTAAAATCCACAGACTAGTTCGAAAACCTCAATTTTCAAACATTGATCAATCAAAGAAAAACTTTACAGAATTTTAAAAGACTTTGATAAAATGTCAATCTCAGTGTAAGCAATGATATGTATTGATTTATTTTGATATATGATAAAATGTATAGGACTTATTCTTGTTTATGCTCTATAGCGCCACCTCATGGCCAATTGAGATCAAACTTTATAGGCTATTAGAGATTGCCTATTTGGACACATGATATAATTTTTGTGATGATTGGCCAATGCTAAGCCCTCCAAATGCCTGTTGAAAGCTTATTGGCTAATGGCGGCCATATTTGTCCAATGATTCAGTTGTCCTCAATAGATCTTGTAAATATTAGGCCATGGATACAGCACGCAAAGTTTCAGCTCAATTGGCCAAGCAGTTGCTGAGAAACAGATTTTTGGTTGTTATAGCGCCCCCTATTGAATAATCGGTATCAACCTTGGTGGGCTTCTACAGAATCATGTGGGGTACAGGACTGTTAAGTTTGATGTGAATTGGCAAAAGCAGTCTCGATCTGTAGCCATTTATGTGAATTAAACCAAACCCAGAGGGGCTTAATTGGCACGTGGCAGCCATACTGTTTACAAATATACATTTTTTTTTTGATAATTCTTGATATCCAGACTCCCCTGAACATTTTATTATGTTGATATCTTGAAAAACCTCAGACTGGTGTAAAAATGTAGATGTCACATATTTTGCCAATAATGATGATAAATTTGGGGCTAAAAATATGCAGTGGAGCGTTGATGTAGAATAAAGCAAGGATTCTGAAGAAGCAAGAATTTTGAGTGTAGACCCCATGGTTCAGGAGATATGGGCAAAAGCGTAAAATGTTGCTCTGCTATCAGCGCCACCATCAGGCCAACTGGGGTCAGTTCAGTTGCCTGAGTAGTGGGGGGAATCTACACCTACCCTCCAAGTTTGGTCTTTGGATGACTTACGATGTCTTCTCCACAAACCGTTTTAGGGAAGAAAAAGAATAAGAAGAAAAATCCTAGCAAGAGCAATAGGTGCTTGGACCCCTAATAACATCCCGTGTATAGGAGTAAAGTATAAAAGTATTTCTTTACAGATAGATATCCACTAGGCGAAGTGCAAAGATATTATATTTCTCTTTTTCATTAGAACAAGGGGAAAAAGCCAAAACTCGGTGTTACTAAGCATAAGGTTCATGCATGTGGTTAGGTTAAAGGCCATGATATTAATATATGGCTGGGTTAAATAGGAAATGAGAAATACAAGCATAACCACCTTTTGTTTATGCTTACTCACATCCTGCATTGAGTAAAATTTTCCAGTTTAAAGACAAGCAAAACCCCCTTCTGAGGTTCTTTGATCTTCAAGCTGGTAGGAACTTCTGAGAAACTGCAACAGCTTTGAGTGGATTTTCGATGGGCTGTTTTGAAGTTATCATTGCTAGTATTATATTGATTATTATTACTATTAATATTATTACTTTAGCTGGTCAATCCAGAACGAAGGCAAACATTAACGCTAAAAAGCCAAATACCTTATCAAATACAAGTTCAAGTTAAAGATTTTACACCATTGCCATTTACACCAATTCTAACACAGTGCTTAGTCAAGTAAATAAATATATAAAGATATCGCTGCTGTTGGAACAAAACCTTGTATCTCCAAAATGATAACTTTACAGGAGAAGGACAAAACATGCTTTACTTTTCATGCAACCACACTTTTTTCCAAGTACTTTTAGGCTGTTTCTTTTGGTCCATTCACCATGAAATTTACACACAATGTTGAAGCTGAGAAATTTTATTGTTTTTTTGAAAAATGTATGCCCATTTTGAATTTCATGCAAACAACCCATCGTAAAAAAGTTCTACTCCGATGATCCTGTAGGACATCTTAACTATTCTCTGGAGGGCTTGTTTCACTTTTTTGCATGGCATTGCCAAACCAGTTATCACACCACTCTCAATGGTTCCTCTGTAAAAGCGAGTTCTCTTTTGTGGAGTCAGTCCTTTTTAAGGTACTTTAGAAAGTACAGACGTTGTTGTGCTTTCTTCATACAATGTTGTTGGTATTTACTGTCGAGCTGAAGTTACTGCAGATGTATAACTGTAGTAACTGTCTTCAAATCTTCATTATAGTGGAGAGAATGGATTATTCATATGACAGAAATGACTCATCAGGAGGGCAACAAGCCAAATAGCTGGTTATCTAAATACAGTCATGTGCAAGTTTGAACACCCCTCTTTCAAATTATGTGTTGTTGGTTTTAAAGTAAAAATAGTTACACCATCGCAATTCCCAGTGGCTGTGTGATGTGTGTGATGTGATGAGTGTAGTGCATGCTGGGTA